TACATACATATTTCGTATTTATGTATACATATAAGTATGTATATTCATCCATACAAAGTAAAATCTAATACTGATTCTTAATTGAATTTTGAATATGCGTATGTACATACACACATTTACAATATAAATATGTATGAAAATTAAACATAAAAAGCGGCTGAACTTGGAAGTGCAACTTCCGATAATACTATAATTAAACTAATTTTATTTTCTATCATCCGTGTGAGTTTTGAAAACTATCAAATCTATATGCGAACATATGTATGTACATACATATGTACATAGATGAAAAAATATATTTATTACATATTTTTATACCATCTCATTTCCCATCCTGTAACATAATGAAAGCAGGTATGAATTAGTACTTACATATGTATCTATTTATGTACATTTTTAAAATATTTTTCTGTTACCTACCTTCTTGCAGAGTACATACTACTTTTTCATGTATGTACATACATACACACATACTTATTGGTAGTGGATTGCGTGCTAAAGAAGAATAAAATTATATTGCGTATATAAGGTAAATACAATGTAATAAGTATGACATTCAAATTCATTTATGTATGTACATGCATTCATATTTATACATGTTTGTTAATGTATGTATGTACAAATGTAGTTATAAGGTTCAATTTTTTATGCCTAGAATAACTTCATGAATGTATGTATGTACATATGTAGATATGGGTTACATTTATAAAAAATAATTTCTCATATGAAATATTTTTTTTGCAATTAAAGTAAATTTTAAAAACAGTCAAATTACCTACTTACATATTCCTACATATGTACATACAATATTACACGAATTTGAACACATGTAAGGATGGTGTTCATTTGCTTAAAAAAATTTTTTTTTTTCAAATTTTGGAACAATTTTTATATAATAAATATTTTCTTAAATTTTTATATTATAAAACTACATAGGTATTAGACAATTTTATATGAGTACAGCATAATCCGATTATAAGAAACCCTAATAGAAAAAAGTCCTGACATTTTCATGCACTTATAATTTTACATTAATTTCAATGTTTTTTTACTTTAATTTCAATTTTAAAAGTAACTCTTTTCTTATAAGATTGGCTCTCATAAAAGCTGTAAATATGAAGTCGAAGTCAATATTGACACCACATAAAAATTGATCCCGTTATAGCCTGGACAAGAACCTAATTAAAATGAAATAAAATTTACAATATCAATTTATTACTTAGGTAAACATGCATTTTTTAGTTTTGCAACTATTTAATTGCTTATTTGTATTCCATAAATTGTATGGTCTCATGCAATTAAGTAATCAAACAGTTTGTAATAACGCACTCGTTTCGAATTGACGCAACTGTTTACTTGGTTAGATGTGCACATACCGATCATGTAGTAATTGCAAAATTGAAAATTGCATGTCTATCTGAGTGGCCAAGTTTCTTTTTAAGCGGATTGTACTGTGTAACAAATTCATTTGTAGTTAACAATAAAATTTGCACAAGCAAATGTGTAACAAACATCAAAATTTTCGTTATTATTTCAAAAATGTACGCATATGTGTCAATGTATGTATATACCTACAAGCTTATATATGTGTATATATATGTACATATTCGCTAGTATATTTCTAGGGTCCCTTTTGATTAGATAATTTTTCTAATGAAAAAAAAAAACAACATGATAAAAATGAATGTTTTTTAACGGTTTTTCTGTTTTTTAGATTGGAAAACGTTGACACAAACAAGTAGTTTGATACGAAATTTTTTTTTAGTGTTCCATGTACATACTTCTATGTATGGTGTATGTATATTCACAAATTTTTCAAATTGGTTACGTAATTTGTAAAGCAAAAAGTTCATGGAATCTATGCAAATTTTTTCATCATTTTTAATTGTTACCAGTCCGAAAAATGACTTTAAATCACTATTGTTTCCTTTCTGGACTGTTTTTGTTAGAGCAGTACAAACTGATTTTAAGGACTCTATACTGATTTAAAAATAAAATTAGTACTGCTTTTTTAGTACTGATTTTACTAAATTTGTCACCTAATTTATTGACCTGTTAACTTGTCATCTTTTAAAACAATTATATTACATTTTTTATAGCTATTCACAAAGTTTAACCGTTGAGTAAAGGGGTGAAATAGAAGAGGCCCAAATATTACTTGTATTGTAATTTGAATGAAGAAAATTTTAGGGGCAGGATAACATAATTCAATAGATGCGTCGCAAATTTAGGACAAATATATTAAACTAATGTCCCTCTTAATATAGAGAATCTGGTCTTTATTCATTTATTTAATGATAATAGGTACCTATAATTTAATAATTTTTATCAGACATTTTTACATTATTGAATATGAAATTTTTTATGAATTTTACGTTATTTGATAACCATAGACTCTTGATAAGAATAAAATTTACTCGAATTTTTGATACAATTTACGTATAAGAATTTATTTCCTTATTTTCATATTAGAATTATATTTTTATGACTGTACATACTTATTGATTTATTCCTATATACATACATATGTATATGTATAAGAATAAGAAAATTTCAAGAACCAAGTATTAATTCTCAGATAAGATTTGCAATCTTTCCGCTTGCGTAATATTTCGTTTTTTTTTTTTTTATTTATTCCTTTATAAGATATACTAAATTAACTGTTAATTACTTAGGTACATACCTAATCAAATTTGGAAAAAAATTTGTCAATCTGTTCCATATTATACTATAGCATAATTATAGGGTTAAAATAACCATAACGATAGAATCATTATAACTTTATAATACGCCATTTTTAGCATATTTTGTCATAATTTTTGGAAAAGGAAAACATAAATTATGCTAAAATTATTGTTTTGAATATAAATAAATCTAATATATACATACATACATATGTAAAGAAAATCTATGTACCTGCAATACTTATATGGAAAAATTTAAAACCCCGAGACTTTTCAACTTTATTTATTTTTTTTTTTTTTTTTGTAAAATGACATTGACCTTCTACTCTCCCATAATTGCAAAAAAATTGTATTTTTTTTTCTATTTGTTTTTTATTATTATTATTACAGATTCATTATTCATTAACTTTGAAATTGAGAAGAAACATAAGTAAAACTAAAAAAAATTTTTAAAAGTTTCTTTAGAAAATGAGCTGTTGTAATGTAGCTCTATACTTATAAAATTTAAAATGTTTTGTAGATTTTAATATACATGCACATATATACACAAACAATCAATGTGATCGTAAATACCATACCTCTAATCCTATATAATGTTATATGCTTGTATTTTCTACTATATTTAAAACTTGTATACTAAAATAATAATATCTACAAATATAATTTTCTTTAGAAACGATGAGATGACTAACCTATACATATAGAACATATTTAAAAAAAAAAGCAATTTCCAAATACAGATTAAAAATTTTAAAGCTGTTGCTAGATATTCTTATTAGATACATACATACTTACTTACTTAATATTATAATTAAATTTCTGTTGGAATTAGGGGGGGGCATAAGTATGTATGTATGTTTGTTATCTCTAATAGGACAAAAATATACATGAGTATGCATAATAATATAAAATGTACATAAGAAGACGTCATCATTATTTTATTACCAAATCCACATTTTAAAATGCTTATTTTTCATTTCTCAAAGATTTTCTTAAGAAATTCTAATTGAAGGTAGTAGTAAAGTGAAAAACTAAAAATAAAATAAAAACTAAAATTGAAGAAAATTTTTTTTTTTTTGCAAAATATGGTAATTAAGTATAAAACCGGTCTTATTATAATAAAATAATGGTTATGTGTAGTAAGTAGAAGTTATACTCGATCATTATAATATACAAGCATACAAAACGTACATGCAAACATTGAAAATATTTGAAACAATTTTACTTTACTTACATTCAGACATAATATGTACATATGTATAAATGTATGTACATAAGCATTTAACTGCTTTTTAAACAATTTTTTATTTAAATTTAAAATTATAAAAAATAAACTAGTAAATCGTATTTAGTAATTCCCTTGCCATTATTTAAATAGCAAATAAAATAAAAAAATGATGTCAGATGAATGTTATTAATATTAAAACAAAAGAAACAACAGAAAAATCGAAATTTTCCTTACCCAATCAATATTTTCATATCATTTATTTAATTATATTTGTTCACTTAGAATGAATTTTTTTTTCCTTTTGTTCTAAGAAAGTTGCTTTTTAATAAATAAAATAATCTTAGCAACAAGTTTTACTGTAGGGTTAAATCTAATTATAGTATCGACTTAGATAAATTAAAGCTACAAAAGATGAATGGGAAGATAATTTAAAATTATGTATGCCTGTCTAGAAATACATACATATTAAAAATGTGTAATTAAAATTATTGAAACTCGAAGTGTTTAATTAAGAAGCATGTAGGTACATAAAAGAATAAAAATATCATTATAATTTCGGCACATTACAATATGTAATATTGATGAGAAGCAAAAACCTGTAATATGTAGCAGGGTAAGTATTATGAAGAGTATGTTAAATTAAATTGTTTTTAAAAAGTTGCGTGGGACCAAATTTTTCACATACAGTTTATATTTCAGAATTTCTTACTGATATCTAAAATAAAATTAATGAAATTCAATTTTAATTTCAATAAGTTTTGATTTGTTCACAAATGAATTCAGTTTTCTAATTCTTAAATAAACCTTTTTTACATTCTAATATACATCAAAGATGTAATAGAGTATTATTCAAACAGAATTATGCCTGTTTTCAGATTAAGATCAATGTGAACATTTGAAAATATTTCTGAAATCACAATATTTGATTTGATATTCGATAATCTATCTACCACATGTGATCACGTGATGCATTAAAATACCGTCATTATAATATTAAGCATTAGATTAATTAGTTTTATAATTTCTCCACCTGTTAAATCTAAAATATTAATGAAAAAAGAAAATTCAAATGAAAATTTAAAAAAATATTTTTATGTGTAGTTGGTTTTTATTCACTTCAAAAAGGATACCAATAAATGTTACAATAATAGTAGTACAAATACTGTATTATTTTTGTTTTTTTTTTTTATTTATTTTAAATACAAAAAGGAATGTGGTTTTGGAATTTTACAAATTTCTTCTTTCTTATGTCTTTTTTTTATTTTGTGTTTTTTACACTTGATTTTTTCTTTCTTTTTATTGATGTTGTTGTTTTTGATGTATTGCTGATGTTGCTTGAATTAATTTTATAAATAGAGTTGGACATTTCCATTTATAATTATTAATTTAAAAATGTATTATTTTTTATAATAAATGTAAAATGAATTAGTAAATTTATTTTTTTTAATATTATTTTAATATTATTATTATTATAATATATAGAAAATATTTAGAAACATTTTCTATGTACAATTGATGGGCCAGACTCATCATATTCTTGTTTAGAGATCCACATCTGTTGGAATGTAGATAATGAAGCCAAAATAGAACCACCGATCCATACTGAATATTTTCTTTCTGGTGGTGCAATAATTTTAATTTTCATTGTTGATGGAGCCAATGATGTAATTTCTTTTTGCATACGATCAGCAATACCTGGATACATTGTAGTACCACCAGATAATACAGTATTAGCATATAAATCTTTACGAATATCAACATCACATTTCATAATTGAATTATATGTTGTTTCATGAATACCACATGCTTCCATACCCAAGAATGATGGTTGGAATAATGCTTCTGGACAACGGAATCTTTCATTACCAATTGTAATAACTTGACCATCAGGTAATTCATATGATTTTTCCAATGATGATGATGATGCTGCTGTTGCCATTTCTTGTTCAAAATCTAATGCAACATAACATAATTTTTCTTTAATGTCACGGACAATTTCACGTTCAGCTGTTGTTGTAAATGAATAACCACGTTCAGTTAAAATTTTCATTAAATAATCTGTTAAATCACGGCCAGCCAAATCTAAACGTAATATGGCATGTGGTAATGCATAACCTTCATATATTGGTACTGTATGTGATACACCATCTCCAGAATCTAATACAATACCAGTTGTACGACCAGATGCATATAATGATAATACAGCTTGAATTGCTACATACATAGCTGGTGTATTAAATGTTTCAAACATTATTTGGGTCATTTTTTCACGATTAGCTTTAGGATTTAATGGTGCTTCAGTTAATAATACTGGATGTTCTTCGGGTGCAACACGTAATTCATTATAGAAGGTATGATGCCAAATTTTTTCCATATCATCCCAATTTGTAACAATACCATGTTCAATTGGATATTTTAATGTTAAAATACCTCTTTTGCTTTGAGCTTCATCACCAACATATGAATCCTTTTGACCCATACCGACCATGACACCTGTTTTTTAATTGTTTATTGTTTTTTTTTTTAATTTTTATTCAATTAAAATAAAATAAATTATGGACAAAATAAAAAGAAAAAGAGGGAAATCGATTTTACGTAGGAAACATTTTTTTTATTTTGTTTTGTTATTATTGAAATTCTATAATTAAAATATTTTTTAAATTTGTACATAATATGGATGAAATGAAAAATGCTTTTAGTTTTCATTCTGATAGACTTTTGCGTATGTTGCTGACAATGAAAGTAAACAAACATAATCGGTTTTTACTTGAAAACAGAAAGGAAAGAAACAATGAAATGAAGCCTTTCATTCAATAGTAGGTCGAAAAAAAAAAGGTTAGAAGGTTATAAGACCAATAGAAAAAAAAACATAGTTGTAATTTAAATAATCTGCAAATTATAAAAATTTGAAAATTTGACTATCGAAAAAATAGACTGCTTCTAGTATCTATCAAAAATCAAGCAAATTTACTAGCTTCACAATCATTAATTTTATAATATTCATGCGTATATAGCTAATCTCAAGTGTCTAGGCAAAACTTATCACCTGCTCAAATAAAAAACACATTATCTACATAAAAATTATTCTAATCTTATCATTTTTTATTAAATTTTATTACTAATTATCTCATAAACTTCCAATAAAAATATTAAAAATATTTCAATGACTTTTTATATGTATAAAAAAAAATTGGAATGTCATTTAATTACATAACTAACTAATTTCAGTTTACTTAATTGTTATTTATTTAAAATAAATAATAAATTTGAAATCTTAGATCATAAATTATTTTGGAAATTTTTTTTTCCAATGAAAAAAAAAAACTATTAAAAATAATTTACGTTTTTCAACACATCAAAAAAATGTTGTGATTAAAAGCTTTGATTTCCTTCTTGAAATATATAAAAAAAAAAATCATGCTTAGAATATGTTAATGAATAAGAGATTTGATTGAATCATCTCCATTCGCTTAAAAATATCAAATTTATGATAGGAAAACAACATTCAAAATTGTTTTCTTGTTTCTATATTCACCCTTCTTTTCCAATATCTTTAACATATTTTTTTTTTTTTTTTAAATTCATGATTCATTCCCAATCCTTCTATTCGTTTTATACTAGAATTATTTATTAATAATATATAGGAAATTTTAAAACAAAAACATTGAGGGTTATTTATTTTCGAAGTATGTAATGTGTCATATACCGGAAAATCATTTTCTTTTATGTGTGGGTACATGTGCATTAAAGATATTAAATTGCAATAATAAATTTGAAAATCTACCCAATTTATTCTATAATATTTAAAGAGACGAGTAAAAACAAAATATTTTAATTGCCAAAAATAAATAAATAAAAATTTATTGAAACAAACAATGCATTAATGGTCATATGAAAGAAATTTTTTGCCCCTTAACAAAATTCAGAAAATTTACAGAAAATTTAGTCATTCAACACAAAAATTACAATATACACGCGCATAAATAAATATATTTTTTACACAATGTACACACGTAAATCTACTTATATCAATGTAAATATATAAAAATTTAATTATTTTTATAGTGGCTTTAAATAAAAATAAAAAAAAAAGAGGTAACATGTGACTGGAATATTTTATTTATATTATTAACACACCGGAAAAAAAAAATGATTCATACATTGGAAATTTACAATTGAAATGGAAAGAATATAATAATAGATTGAAGCTTGAACTTGTATAGTAAATTTTTTTTTATATTTTACCAAAAATAGAATAATGTAAGGGAATATAATCTTAAATATTTGACTCATTTCAGCTACTACTAAGAATCTAAAAATGAATTAACTTCTTCCAAACATGGAATTAACGACCAACTAAATTAAATTTATTTGAATTTTAGGGTATAGAAATTCTATGGCCTCCACATTGAAAATACTATTGTTAACTTAGGCGAATTATCGACTTCCATTATAGTTTATGCATATATTCGTTCCATAATCTAAACACAATACATTGCAAACTTTGTCACATTTAAGTAAGTACTTTAAAATGAAGTTTCAAAGGCCTTCCAAAGACGAACTTTTTTTTTTTACAATATGGAAGTCAGAGATTATTATATTATTGGAAACAACTAATGATTTAATATTAAAAAAATTTTTTCAATAATATTTTAATTTTACTACTTTCTTAAAACACTCAAACATCTTAAATTATCGAATTGATAGAGAAACCTCGAGCAAACTCGATCAAACATAATACCACCAAGTCAACAACATTAAACATAATTACAGACACCTATTCATTTTTTTTTTTTAAATCATACCTACTTTCACAAAATTCTTTTTTTTTCAGTTTTACTCTATCTTTGGAAATTCAGATACCTATCTTAAAAATTTAAGATGTGCCACCTACATTAAATGTAAAAACAAGAGAGGAACACAACAAAAAAAAAAAAAAGAGAGAATTATAACAAAATTAGTCTATAAGCAAAGCACTCAAGTTCAGTGCATTTTCATATTATTTTTTTTTTCATCGTTTCATTGAAAACAAGTCTTTCAAATATACATAATTCAATTTAAATTAAAATCACATGTAGTGGTAGGTATAGTATTTATAGACGACGACAACCTCCACAAATAATGAAATTTCCTGAAGATATTTGTATTTTAAAAGTAGATTCTTTTTATGTAAGGAAGTTATTACATTCTTTGAAGTTTTGATATATACATATATTCATATATAGGTAGATAGGTACCTACATTCATTTTAACCTATACAAGTTAAAATATTTTTTAATTAAATTAATAGAATTTAAGATTTAATTTATCAGATATTTTAACACATTGTCACAAAGTTTAGGATTTATTTGTACTTTGAATTTATGTACATATAAGTATGTAATTATCAGGAGGATAAGAAAATTATTTTGAAAAAATAATTGCTTTCAAGGGTTTTATGTAGACTTAGGCGTGGCAAACAACGCCCAAAATATAATGAAAAAAAAAAAACACAATAATAAGAAAAAAATTACGTATAGATAAAGAAAAAAATAATTTTTCCCTAAAAATAGACGTGATTCCTCATATTTTTTTCTGCAATTTATTTGTGTTATCCTTTTAACTATTACAGAATTGTTGACACAAAACCAAGAAAAAAAAAGTAGATTTTGATTTTTTTTAAATATATTTTTTAAAATTCTGGGCTATGTTGGGGCTATAAAAACCCCTTAACTCTAAATGATAGTTTGTGTTGATCCGTGACTGGTATAAATATGTATGTAGGAATGCCTACATAATGTAGGCAATAATCTTTTTTACTGATCGACCAATTTGATAAATGAAGATTGAGCTCGGTCAATTAACTCTAAGAGGTTCGATCAAGAAGTTCAAAAACGAAATTGAATCGATCAATATTTGGATATTGTAGCATTGTAAAATTCGTAGACCTGTATTTCGTACTTAGTAGGTACCTACTCTATTTTAGATCATTGTAATTAGATAATTGTAATCAGATAATTGAAATTGTAAATGAAATACTCATGTATTAAATATTGTTATGTAATAGGAATGTAATTATACAGACATGACATATGGTCACTCTATGTATTTGAAACATTTTTTACATTTTTCAAATTATATAAATGAAATGTATAACAATTTTAGTAGCCTTATAAAAATAAAATTTTACCATGGCATTTAGTTAATGAAAAACATAAAAAAAACTTATATTGTTGGAAATTGATGTGTAACTTTACTTTTTGAGTTAAGTAGGTATTTTTAATTAAGAAATTACATTTATAAATTTTATTTAAAGAATATTCTACTTCCATTTTCAATTTATGCAGACATAACTTATGTACTGAAACCAATTCTAACTCGACTTTTACGTCTAAAACAGAACAAAAAAAAAAAAAAGCTTGTTAAAAATGAAAAAAACAAAATTCAAAAGAAAATTAAAAACTATTTCGTATTTCTTTATATTACAATGACCTACCTACTCAAAATATTAATACTTATACTACACACATAGGGTACGAGAAAATATTAAATTTCAAGTTAAGTTGGCTATGTATAAGAAGAAAAAAAAGTTGCTTTTTTTTTCTTTTAAGTTAGTTATGTTAAATCAGTAAAATTGATGATATCATTCGTAAAACATTTTATACCTATTACTTTATATAAATGTTTTTAGCTTTCATTTTTGGTAACACAACATACACAATGTTATAAATTTATACAAGTATTTTTTTTTTTTAGGTTGTTGGTATTGTATGGTAACCAAATTAAATTTTGTAATTGCCTGATTTTTAGTAAAAATTACTGAATCGCGTAATCAATTCCCTTTTCTTTTTCTATTTTGTATTTTTCCTAGATGTAATAATATATTACCTTGATGTCTTGGACGACCTACAATTGAAGGGAAAACAGCACGAGGTGCATCGTCTCCAGCAAAACCAGCTTTGCACATACCAGATCCATTATCAACAACGAGAGCAGCAACTTCTTCGTCACACATTTTGTATTATATTATTTTATATCTGTATATAAAAAAAAAAATTTGTTATTATAAATTTAATCAAAATATTTTTTTTAAAGAAATTATTTTAGTTTTCTAATTGGAATTTGAATTCTTTGTACACCATTTGCAATTTAAAAATGCAGGCCCTTTTTTTTATCCTGGATTTTGACATTTCCCGGTAAAAATAATTTTATTACAATTGATTTTTTTTAATATTATAAAATGTATAGGTTTGTACAAATGATCAAATATATGTACTTGAAAAATATGTACATGTATATCATTTTTATATTTCATTTCTTTGGTACAACATTCGACATAACTCAAATGAAGCGATTTTCTGAGTTCTTTTCTACAGAAATGCTTTTAAAACATTTCTTTTTTTTTATGGAAAAATATCAATTTTACTTGAAAATTGTCTCCTATAATACACTACAAATTTCAAAATTTGCATATTTTGAGTTATGTCAGTGTTGCAACAAACAAGCGAATATAATATAGATGTATGATAAGTTAATTCCAAATTTTTTTTATATCCGGTATATTTTTTGTGAAACAATTAATGTCGTTGTGGCCTGGATTTTTAAAAAAAAAGTCCTGTTCTATGGCTTTAACTATAAATGTAGTAGATACATATATATATTTATTAAATCTACACATGCAATTAAAATTTTGAATTAAAAATCCAAGTAGTGATTATTCCAAGAAACTATTGTGAATTTTTTATATAAAATTTATCCCAGAGTATTGAAAATCGAATATTCTTTTCCTTTTTCAATTTTTTTTTTTTATCGTATCGGCTTTTTTTCTTATGTGACGCACACAATCTCTATTTTACAATATAAAATCCAATTCTATATATTTAATTTTTTACGCACACATTGAAAAAGTCATTTAAACATGAAAGTTATTTTTGAAAATTTTTAAGTCGCAGCCGGCTCCTTTTTTTTTTCTTTTACCAACATTCAAAAAAATTCAAATTTGCTTTTTGGTTTTTCAAACCAGTAAAAGAAGTTCCATTCTTTTCTTTTTTTATTCCAATACATACAGAATTAAAAAAAAATTAATAATTTTTAGAAAGTTTTCTGTTACAATAACTATTTTCGGGTGTGAATTTAAAAAAATTTCCTTTTTCGTTTTAATTCAACACACAAACACTAATATTTAATTGAAGATATAGAATATTTGTCTCTTTATGTACAATTGTACATAATGATATATACAGCCATTTTGAAATTAACGTTAAAAAAAAAATTGCCGATAAAAAAGGAAGCGTTTTTTTTTTTTCCAAATTTCTCAAATATTGATGGTTTTTTTTTTTTTTGTAAAATCACATTAATTTAAGTGAGAATCACTACTCTTTCTTTTTAATTAAATATTTACACTTTAATTTGTAAAAAATTGTTTTTCTTTTTAAATTATTTAATTTATCTTTTGTTTTTTACAAGACTTTTACATTTTTTTTCTCAATTTTTTATTTATTACTTACAATGGACAACTCCCAAAAAAAATTAAATTAGAAAATTAATTAATTTCACGATTAATTATTACGGAGACAAAATTACCGATTTTTTAAGAAAACCGTCCAACTCGTTTGAAGCTCAAAGTAAAAATGATTTCTAAAAAAATTTTTCATCTATATTAAAGTTCACCACAGATTAAATGGCTGACTGGAGAAGTACGCCGACGCGTAACCAACAGTATTACCAGAGTAATTAAATGATAAATAAAAAGTATGTAATTGTGGAAAAAAAAACAAAAATAAAAAAAATATAGAAATATTTAATAAAAAAAAAAAAGAAATGTGCAAGCAATATAAAAAAAAAAAATATAAAAATATGATGAGATTAAAAGAAATTTTTTTTTTTGTATTAAAATATGTATGTAGATGGCATTAAAATTAAATACTTACATACTAATGTATACTTACTATGTATAAGAGAGAAGTAATAAAAAACAAAAATTAGTACATACATATTTGTATGTATTACGTATTTGGAAAAACTACGTAGTGTATATAATATACATATGTATATGCATATTTATCATATACTTAAGTATATACTTAAGTTGTATATAATCGGACATATGATATAGCATATATGAAATATTTAAAATAATTTATGTACAATGAGAAAATGTATATGCATGTATATAACAGATTAGTTGGGGTATACATACATACATATGTATAATATTTTGGAAAATCATTAATCATAAAAAATATTTGATAAGCTATTCAAATGAATACAATGTATGAGTCATTATTGTACTAATTACATACATAATATGAATGTAAATATATATTACCTTTTTTTACAGTTCTTTTATGCACATTAGGGTTTTATACAGATATTCTTTGCAAAATATGTGCTTATTTAAATGTACTCATGTATGTTTATTAGAATATTAATATTATGATGTCACAAAATTGATTCATTTTAAAAGTCCAGCAACTGAATATTAAAAGTTACATTCATATTATTACAGGTGAGTGGATCCCAGACAAAATTAGATTTTGCTAATGTTATACATGTATGTATGTAAATATGTACATAGTTCTCTATTTAAACAGTGAAACCTTTCTATTTCTAAAACAATAATTTATAATATTGTATGAATGTATTTATGGATATAATTAGAATTTGTTCCACGATTTTGAAGTATGTATGCATGTACTTTAACTGGATTCTTTAGGTCGTTATAGTTAAATTATAAGCTTAAAATTTTTAATGATAGCCTTACTGTAAATCAGTAAAATGTTAAATATTTTCCTATAAGTGTGTTCTGTTTTAGCTAAATTGATTCTACCCACCATGTTAAATTCAGTATTGGAAATTTTTAAATTAAATTTTGTTAAGCATTTGAGCTGTTAGAACAGTGTGCAGATGCGCGTACTACATATTAAAAAAAGTTAGAAATAAATTAAACTATGTGAGTGGACTGACATACTATTCTTCAAACTGACAGGTTCTTCAGTTTCCAAACTTACTTTTACACACAAAGTAATTTTCTATTTATAGGAAAAGAAATATAAAACGTATTTACATCAATCATCGATGCAGGAGTAATTAAATTAAATATCAATTATTATTTTGCTGAAATAAATTTCTGATAGTTTCTACAATTTCACATATAACTGCACTTAGATAATTTCTTACAGGATCCAATAATTCTCAAGGAGCTTAACAAAATTGTAAGTGGAAGAAATATGTTTATATATATGTGTGTGTATGTCGACATTGAGTTTTAAGATTTTTTAATATAGTAATTCAAAATTATTAAATAAATATTTTTATATAGTTCTTATCAAAAAATTAATATAAAATACAATTCTTTTTCAACAGTTTTATAATGAAGCTTTTATGATTCATAATTTAAAATAATCAGTCATATGACTAATAAATAATTGGAAGTATACAAGTGATATGCTGAAACCATTTTTCAATAGATTAATGCATTTTAATATTGTATATAAGAAACTTGCAATGTCCACCATTTACATGGACAATAGCCTTTTTGAAAAAAAATTTTTAGTGAATCACATACTATTTAACTGAAAATTTAAATGTGAAAATCATTTTATAAATGATTTCGTCAATCCATCTGTTAATAGGGTATCGAAACAATTGAACTTTGTTTAAGGTTTTTCCTACATAGTTTTTAGCAGAAATAAGTAAGAGATATTGAATTAAAACAGTTTTTGGTTAGATGTCGCTACGTACACCGAAATCAATATTTTTAGAAAGTGAAAATTAAAAAGGCACTTCTATTCTTTTGGGCACAAAATAAACATAAAAACAATAAAAACAAAACGTAAAAAAAAAAAAAATGAAAAAACAAATGAAATTTCAATATTTTGAGGATTTTAAAAAATATTTAAATAGTTTGATGTTGATGAATTTGATGCGAATGATATTGATTATTTAGCCTTTCATTTATCTCTATTTAATTTTTTTGGGATTCTTCAAGAATTTTGAAAATAAATGTTTATTCCTCTGTAATAAGTGATTATTCCCTCTGTCGTTGTACCCGTATGCAAAACTTCTACACCCTGAAATGGTAATTTTTCATAATATGTATATATAAATGGATTTTTACTAGAAATTTACTTCCGTAGAAGAAAAGTTTTAACTATCTCCAACTTTTTCTCAAAAAGTTATAACTTCTTAAAAAGCCATTTTAAAGAGACATAAACATAATGCAAATAAGTTGTGGCTGGTATTTTTTATAGCGGAACAGCATAATTGATTATTAAAAAGAAATGTCTCCTAAAACTAACCGTTACCTATAAAGCCCTTTTTTTTGCAAATTTTTGATGTCGGTTGTCTTCTATAAAAAAGGTTGTAGAAGTCTGAAGCTTTTGTAGTTTTTGGATACTAATAAAAAAATTTTTCCAACTCCAACTCATCACAAGTTTTGCGCCTCTCCAAATTAGTAAAAGTCGCATTTTTGGCAGCATATATTTCCGAAACTGAAAACTTTTTCAAATTTCTATGAACAAAAGCTAACAATAAATGACGCAATTAACCCTTTAAATTCGAGCATTATGTTGACGCCTCTATTTTTTTTTAAAAATAGTATTCTCACTTGGAAAATTGCTACTTTACAAACCATTTAAAGCTTGAACCAACTTTATTAATTTTGTTAGCTTAATAAAGTTGCTAATAAAAAAAAACAGTGCTCTTTTGAAAAAAAAATGTTGAAAATACTAAAAAAGAAAAGAAAAGAAGTAAAAATTTTGCATTCAAAAAGTGAAAAGCGAAATTTAAAAAGCTGAAAACTAGAAAAATAGTGTATTACTTTCCAAATCTATATAATTATTTCTGGTAATGGAAAATAATATTGTATAGTTCTTGCTGCATACAACATGTGTTCTTTTACTAAATAAGATTTTAAAATATATTCACCATTTTTTTAAATTCGCACATTTTATATCTCGTTTTTATACTTTCTGATAGTAGATGTCACTCAACGAATTTTAGAATGGTAAATTAATTATATGAAAAAAATGTGATTAATTCAGCAAAAATTCTCATTTTACCTTCTCCTTATTTTATGCAACAATTTTTGAAGAAGTAAAGTTGAATTTATTTTTTAAGAATTAGAAAACTCCGAATGACCAATTACGCTGATTATATGAATTTTTTAAATTTCAGGTACCTCATATGAAAAATAAAAAATGTGGATGTTATCAGAAATAAGAAATAATATTATAATTGTTTCTGATATTATTTTTATTTTTTAGAATATTAGTGGAATGTGAATAGTTAAATATCTTTTCCTTAGTTTTTATCCATAAACAATTCTGTGAGCAACCTAGTGTCAGTTATTAATACTATTATATTCTCTGGTGATATGAGTAAGTGCTAATTGTGATTGAAACTTTAAAATTCGCGAAAATCAATATCTCTCATAACCAAGCAGATTTGTTAATATCAATTTAAATACTATGTATTAACGACTTGGCAAACATATTTACAGTAACGACATATTTTACAAAAATGAAGAATCATTTATCAGAATAAAAATGTAATTTCAAAATGCTTATATTAAATGTGACATTTAGTTATTATTTTGACCCTATACATACCCTATATAATACGTAGTTCAGTAAATTATTTATATTCAAATTTACATTACAAATAGGCAGCTACATTAAAATCACATACAAAAATTTCTTCACAAACTAAAATAGAATAGACGCATACCTGTTTGCAATGACGACTTGGCATCAATGACTGACATGCGTTTCATTCTCTTTGCCAATAAAGGTAAACAGAGATTATCTGACTTAAACCTTTATATGGAAAATGGCACTGTGCACATTTGCAGGGGTAATATAACACTTTGTATATTTGCAGAAATACGTATTTTTGCAGAAATATGGATATCTGCATTTTTATTAATAAGTGCGTTTTTCATGAACCGCGTTGAAAAAAGGCTACCTTTCATATATAACCTTATGACTTAATTAAAAAAAGTAATAATAAAATTTTTAGAAAACCAGCAAAATTACAAATACGGTACAAATAAATCCGAAAATGCGAGTTGAAAGATTTGGAGCTATGGATTCGATGTTAAAATTAGAAAATGATTCCAGTTTGGCCTGTTGCGGTTTAAGTAGCAGAACTGTGTGAATCAAACTAAGGAGGTATACCAAGAACCAATGAATCTAATTTCATCGATATATCGATATTTTCATATCACATATTTTGATTTTCTTACGGTTAATCGAATCAATGGGATATATATAATATAAAAAAATTTAATTTTTGTATTCCTTTCTTTGTAACTATTATTGTTGTAATTCAGACATTGAATTTCTCTTGTGGTTTTTCCTTTTATTTCTCTCTTAATATTAATTTCGACATAATTTGCAACATTCTAAATAATTCAATTGTCAATTTCAAAATAAATTGCAATTCGATTAATTTTTGACATTTCTACAAATATATCTTTTTTGACAGTTTCATAATTTTTGACGTTCTACAAAAAATTTCTGTTCGTATTCACAATTTTAATTTTTTCAAATTACAAAGAATTTTCTTTTGCAATTATTGCCAGATTGTTTTGTTGTTATTCTCTTCAAATTTTGAATGAAAAGAAAAGCAAAAAGATAATTTTCATTTCCAAAAGATAAATAATGATTATTATTAACCTAATATTGATCCTTATATTTTCATATTTTATTTTAAAGATAAAATCATTGATATTTAATAATAAACACAGAAGGAAAAGTAGTTAACTAGTTTTTAACATTAAAAATTGAAATTATGTAAGTTGTATTAGTGAAAACTCAACATTTTGCAGTTCATTAAGATTTATATAAATTTGAAGAAACTTTAATTTAATAAATATTTCAGCTATGTTTTTAAATGTTTATTCATGCTGTTTTTGAAAAGTACATAATAATTTTCAAAGCACAACAACATCGTGATGCACATGTTTTTTGTAAATGACACTGACAAAACGTAAACTAATTTAAATGAAATATAATTTAAGACAAAACATAATATATTTGAAATTAGGTTTTGTTTATACATTTATTATGTCTAAAAGATTTTAGTATTGGTGTCAATACTTTTTAAATTATTTTTCTACATAGCCACAACCCTATTCATTGATTTGAATTTTTATGTGTTAAATGTGTTTATATAAATTTCATATGCGCTAAGTAAAACTACTTATGAGTTTAACACTACTCTTGATTTTTACAATGAAAGGTTACCTTTAAAATTCTAATTTAAAATACATAGTTAAAATATAAATTTGAAAAGTTCAAATTTGCATAGAAATTTGAAAAGTTTTTGATAGCTTTTAATTTAATTTTTGTTTCACAAACTTAAATGCTAAGTGAATTTCAGTACGTAATTTAAATTGGATGTTAAGGTAGTAAAGAAATCAGATTTCATTACGAAAAAAAAACTGTGCTATTTAAAAATTACGTAGTATACACTTCCGTTAGTAACTTGAACACGTAAATGAAACGCAAACTTGTTTTTTAGCCGGAATTTTCGATTGCTCGAACATTTCGAACTGTGCACACTTCTAAATTTTTTTATGAACAGTAAAAATATTTGAAAATCCCAAATTTTAAAATAAACGATTTGAAAATATAGGAAAGTATTGATTTTAATTAAATGGTAATTGTCACGGAACCACGCCTAAACTTTTTAGTATAATTATTTTATTTTTTAAAGAGCATAATTCTAGAACATGAATTATTTTTATCTCAGAGAAAATGAAATTAGTTTTTATGACAACACTGTCTATGTGTCAAATTATTGTGAATTGAATAAATGCGCTCGCGCGCTAATTTTTTCTTTTTTTCATGGAGAAATAATTTTTTTTCTTTTTTGCAAATACAAAAAGTCAAAATTCCTTAATAAATAGCTTCATTCCAATCCAAACTATCGGCAACGTATTTGTACGGACGGGAATTTTTTAAAATAAAAAAAAGAAATTTTTTTTGATCAGAAAATAAAAAATATAAAAAATCGAATTAATTTCATTTTTTATGTTCGGTTTTTGAATAATCATGCAATTTGTGAATTCATCAAAAATTAATAATATCTTCTATAATAATTCATGTGCTATATTGAGTGCTGCTGCTCCTATTACCATTGAAAATTGTAATACAACAATTAAACAAGAAAATACTTTTATTATAAATTCAAACGAAAACCAACCTCAATCTATAAGATATAAAAAAGTGCAAAATCGAAATCTTATACCATCTTGATTTCGACTATAATTTAGTTACTTATATAAAATAATTTTTTAGTTAAAAGGAAAATTTAAAAAAAAAAGGTGATTTAATTTATATAGAAAAGGAAAAAAAAGCAGAAAAAAAAACGAAAAGAATAAAAAAAAAATAAATTTTTTTAAAAAAATTTTATTTGTTTCTTTTGATGTTTTTTTGTTTTTTCTAAATTTACTAAATAAATTTTTTTTTATCGGTGAAAACCGAAAGCAAAGATTTACAACCAAGTGAAGTGATTTCATTCGATTTCTTGAAATTTTTCTTTCTTAATTAAAATATACACTTTGCTTTCATAACATACTTAAATAATATTTGAAATTTATTTTTAATTAAAAAAAATTATTTGAAATTTAAAAAGAAAACTTTTTGTAAAATTACATAAAATATTTGTGGTACTCTGATTTTATATTGAATTTGAAAAATTAATAAATTCGAAGAAAATGCCGAAGAAAAATAATCACAGAAAAGGAAAAGGTAAATAATTTTTTTAATAAATTTTCTAATTGAAATTTAATATTGATTCTATTACTTAGTGAAAGCCAATTCAATTTACAATTCTTTATAAATCAAATCTCTTTCCTATTTACATGTACACGTAAGTAGGATAAAGCATAAAACTAATTGAATGGACTATTTTGAAAGTGACCTAGGTTCATTTGCAATTTCAAAACTCTTTTTACTTACAGACCGATGATAATAATGTCAAAAATTAGAATTAAAACTTATGTCTTACATAGGATGGGAAAGTATAAGTGAATAGTAACAAATAATAGTTTGAATTTAACCAGTTAATCGAATTTTTGGTTAGATACTTTAAGTCGAAATTGGGTAACATTTCAAATTTTTATTTGAAATGGACTTAAGTCACAAGTAAACCAATAATTTTATATATGTGTGTACGCTATACAGACTTAGACTTTGACTGATAGACAGACTGATTAATAGAATATCAAGGTTAAAAGCTTTTTTTTTATTTTAGTTTTATAAAAATATATGAATTTATTAATAATTGAAAGAAAAACAACAAGTTGTATTTTAATTGAAAATTTATGAAATCAATATCAAATTTTTAATATTTATGTATGTAATATTGTAAAAAAATGTTTAAAGTAGTTATACCTACCTATCATAAGTTTTTGAAAATTTGAACAAACTATTTTCTTAAATCTTTAAAATCTTATATAATTGAATTATATAAGATTTTCAAAATATCTTAGGTTCGAATATTATTGTACATAGTTATTCAATTCATATTTTAAATAATCATCTGATATAACTAATTGCCAATCTACCAATTTAATTTATAATTTTAATTTTGGCAGATTTTAAAATTATTTTTCTTTTCTTATAATATGTTTAGTACATACATTACGTAGGTAGGTGTTTTCAAGGTCAATTTATTTGTTAGGTCATCTGCTGTTATGAAACTATAATTTATAATAATATTAAAAAAAATTAATTAAAATTAAAAATTATTAATTATTGCAACAAAAATTTCTGTGTCTTTTTGTAATTAGAGTTTTTTTGGGTGATACGCTAAATGTAACAATAAAAAATATATTTAATGTAGTTATAGATTTAAAATATATTTAAGTAAGAATCCTACATAGTCTTTGAGGATAATCTTGCACAGTTCTAAGCATGATATGATTTCAAAAATTGTTCAAATTCCAAATTAAAATTAAAAATCTGAAAGTTTATTAAATGAACGATTGTACACATTGTTATTCATAATTTTTTTTACTTCAAATTTCCTTCATTATATTTACATACACATACAACGCTGTTGTTTCATTTTTTGTTTTATAATTTTCTTATGAGTGATAAGTAATATAAAAATATGCGTAATTACTTTTATATTAGACAAACTAAGTGTATATTAGATTCACAAACAAAGCTTGAAATTGAACTCTAAACTGTGATTTTGTTGGTTGTAGAAGCAGACTTAATCTAAGTCGTATGTCGTATGTGCAAACGTACATTATGTATATGTATGTGAATATTTTTTCAATCTAGTTGCAAATATTTAATTAGAGAGCATGATACGTTGGATTTACTTAAATAATCATTTAATTAAAATGATTTGGAGAGCATTTATTTGATTGCAATTGGTTGTAGTTCGATGTTTACCTCTTAAATGTTTGATCAGAAAATTTTTGTTTGATTGAACAATTTCGTTTAATAAAAAAAATATGTAGTCGCCAAATCGTCTTCTTAATTCTAAGCTTACTTATAGGTTTGTAAATTTTATTGATCCTTTTTTAATCATACTTTTGCTTTCAATTTATTTTTATAACATTTTTAAACTTTTAATAATCTGTTTTGAAACCATTTGCATAATAAAAATATAAAATGTGATTATTTATGCAAATAATGGAGTACATATAAATTTATGTACAACGTTACGTTAGTATATATACGAATATACTAACATGCAGTTTTTAATTAAAATGCTCATGAAATCATGTAACCACTGGAATGGTTATTATGGTACTATAGTTATAGTAAGACACGATTTTGATTTAATTTTAAATTTCAAGGATAATTTCTTCTAGTAGTGTATAATATATTCAATATAAATTGATCCTAAATTATTAAATAAATGACTTAATTACGTATATATTAAAATTCGCTTTATCTTATCATGCAGTTACTCAAGCAAGTAAAATATTTAAAAAAGTACAATTTTAAATTATACATATGTAAGTCCGTATTAAATACTCAAATTGTGTTAGCTTACTTCAATATATTGATAGAATATTTTAATTTAAAATTTGGATAAAAAAAGTCCGACTTTAGTTATGACAAGAGTTAACATGTGAGTATGAAACGGTGCATATCACACGTTTTTTTCATAAAGTCACATTTTAGAAATGTTTTAATAAAAGTTTTGTCTTATTATAATGTGAATTTATTTGTAGGTTTATACAGGTAAATCTTATTTGAGTGAAAAATTCCAATTTTACGAAATCGTTCTATAACACGAATACAAAAAAATAATAATAATAATAATAATAATAATAAGAAGAGAAATAGAACCACGTGTTTTTTTAATAGAATTTTTGAATTTTAGAACGTAATAAGAAATAAATAAAGTAAATATTAAAAGGGGGAAACACCACACACTTTAAAAACAACTTCAAAATGGCTTCCTTGTTATTGTAATTTTTTTACTCGCTTGAGTTTACTAAAGTTTATTGCACTTTCCAATAATTCATACACACTATGTAATATTTTCTTTTTTAAGTACATATAAGTAGGTACAGATTTTTATGTACATACATACATACATACATAATATATAGAAGTAAACGTATAGGTAAAATTAAAATATAAATTAATTCAAAATAGAATTGAAATATGCTTACAAAAAATAAATATTTTTCAAAAAATTATTTTTGTTTTTTTTGCACTTTTAAAATCACAAAATTTAGTTCATAAAGATTTAACAGACGAATACTTACTTAAACAAACATATGTACGTACTTACATGACCTCATGGGCGTGCACATGTGACTGACTACTTTTAAATAGAAATACTTCTGGAACCAGAAAATCAAAATTATTTTGTGCTCAAATCTAAAATAAATATACGGTGTGTACCTTTATATATATGTATGTCCATAAATACTTGTATGTACATATATGCATACATACATACATTGCATGCACACATCATTTACCAATCTATACTAAGTAGACATTAATCATTTTCTTCTTCATTTCTTAAGTATAAAATGCTTAGTTTTGTTATATTTAGGTGAGCATAAAATTTAATTATATTATACAGATATGTATATGTATATCTACTTACATATGAACATATTTTATGTATACAAATTTACTTGTTTGAATGCCTTACAAATTTAAATAATAAGATTAAATTATGTAATATGCATGCACATTTCCACATGTCACATCCATTTATTTTCTTCCATAATATTAAGAATATGAAAACTGGTGAAAACTATAACACCAGCTCAAAAAGTGAGAGAAAAGAGGATGTTAATTAGAAAAAAATGCTTTAAATATAGAAAGGGAAAAAGTCTATTTTCTTATATAAACTGGTTTATTTCCCGCGTAAAATTCTAATAGGATTTTTAATAACAAAATTTTAGAACTCAATAAGTACAGTGATACCACGTCAATTTTTTTTTATTATGTTTTACCTTTTATTATCCAAAACAAAACAAACTGAGCGAATATGAAAAGGAATTGCTAACTTTCGCTAATAGATTTGTAATTTCACTGAGAAAAATAAAATTCTGAAATCCGAATATTTTGCTTTAAATTAAGAATAATTTAGTAAGAGTTTAATATTAGAGTTAAGTGATTAAAATTGCTTCCCTTAAATTTCTAAAACTTACAAAAATTTTATTTTTTAATACGGAAAAAAACTAAAAGCTTGTAATTAATATAAAATAAATATCTCAAAAATTAAGATAAATTTCATAAATTGGTATCACTGTATATTATATTGTGTATTAAATTTTATGTATTATTGTAGGCATAGCTAGATATAAGAATTATAAAATACAAAATATTCAAACATTATATTATTGTAAAACGGATGGGTATACAGAAAGAGATAGAGAGAGAGATAAAGAGAAAAAATAAGGAAAGAGATAAAAATAATATCGTTTTGGTTTTGAATTTGGTTTCGTACCTATTCATAAATACGTTCTATGTACTTGCAATAATTTTGTTGTTTATGAACATACGAAGGGAAGGCTAACAGATAGAAAAAATTAAAACCATGCTACCACGAGTTTGTTTTCTTTATTTTTCTTTTGAATTTTATGTATGTATGTAGGTACATATAGGAAATACAACACGTGGATTGGGATGGTAGAGAGATATAAGACCGCAACATACAAATACAAAGCTTAGATAGTAGCTACATACATACCTATATATTTTATGTTACACAATATGTAAACTTCTGCACATAATCGCGATAAGTATAAAAAATGATATAGAGGAAAAGGCCTAGTTAGTTTGTTTTTTCATTTTTTTTTATAACTAAGTACTTGTGTTTTTCTACAAGTAGACACGTTTTATAAATTCTTGTTTGCTATTTATTCTTGTTAGAAAAGGGATAAATGGGATAGAGAAGTCATAAGTATGTATGTATATTAAATGTTTATTGTACATGATATATAGATTTTCATATACCTTTATGTTGGTACATATGAATTTGTCCGATTTTAATCGTGTTGTATGACCTCAGCCGGAAAAAAAGGGTTGATTGCACATATGTATGTATGTGCATATGTAATACGTACATACATACATATATTATTCTTTAATTTTATATTATTCATATTTTTAACAGTGAATTTTATTTATAATGAATGGTATAGTTGGTTAAAAATTATAGCTATAAGAATATAGACTATGTTAGTGTAGTTATTATTAAATATGAAAAAAATATAATTGTACATTATGTTTTTGTTAGTATTTACTTTCTAATA